CAGCCAGGACTGGGCCAGGCTGCAGCCAGGTCTCCCACATCAGTGGCAGGGACCCAACCACTGAAGCCATCACTCTGCCTCCCAAAGTCCCCATTAGCAGGAAGATGACTTCGGGACTGGAGCCAGGTCTCCAACCTAGGGCATTCCAAGCAGCATTTGAACTGCTATGCTAAATGCCCATCACAGCAAATTATTCATTTTAACATTAAAATAATCGTGGCTAGATGATGGGATAGAAAGTAAACTTTTCACATATTTGTGAAGATAAGCATATAGATCCTTTATCAGTTTAAGGAAGCATCCCAATTGTAATGGCCGATTTGGAGAGGTATTTTCTTTCCTCTGCCGTGATGGGTATTTGGGGGAAGCGTGACAAGGCTGCTGTGATGTTGCATGGGGTAGGCGAGTTCCGATGACCCTGCGGTCTCTCCTCCTGACCTGTCACCTCTCATCTCCTGTCAGCCGGTAAGGCCGGCAGGTTTGTGGTCTCCCGGGACGGGCTCACCCTTTCCTTTCTCCGAGTCTTTGTCCAACCTGTCACTCATGTCTGGGACAACCTCCCACCTCCTGGGAACTACAGCACATCTCCTCCTCTTCTTACAATGCAATTCAAGGTCATTTTTCCCAGGAACTCTAAGTTTAGAGAATGGACTCTCAAAAAAGCATCCACAAGCAGTACTAGGCAGGGATGCTGGGGCCGCATTCCTATACTAAGCATTCCTGCAGCTCTGTATAGGACTGAATAGTATGGATAGCATATCTATTTAGTCATCACCATAACCCTGAAGTATGCAGGCCAGGGTTGTTTCTGTCCTCCTCTACCTTCCAGGCACGGAGCCTTACAGAGAGCAAACAACTGGCCCAAACCACACAGATAGGAAGCCGTTCTTCTGACTCTGTGAAGAAAAAGTATCCAGGGCTGGAGGGGGACTGCACGTCCTCTCGGTGTCATGCTGGGGCATTGTTTATAAACTCTCCCAAACCACACTGAGCTTCTCAGGCACGCAATCTGCCTGGCTGCCCAGGACCCCCAAGTTTAGGAGACGCCCCTGACCTGTTCAAATGTTCTGCTGCCCTTGTCTTGAAATTCTTCATCATTTTTGAACACAGATCGATCGCTGCATTTTCATTTGCCTTGATCCCAGCGAAGAAGGGAGCCAGCTGTGACGGCAGCAGAATGTAGTGCTGTTCCACTTCCTCACTGGCTGTTCAGGGTTCAGACCGACCCGGTGAGTTACACATTCACGTGTAGATGCTCATCCTGCAGATATGCAAATGATTTCTGCCTACACGTCCATTGCTTTGTGGGATACTAGCTAAATTTGTCTCTGACTTGAACAAATCTATAGTGATGTGCTTTTCCCTATATAAGGCTATATAAACTCTGCTTCCTCAGCTGCTCTTGGAATCAGCTTCCCATCTTGCTGATTGCTTCATGGACTAATAAACTAAATAACATCTTTGAGTAGTGTCCATCCCATGTTCTGGGACAATCGTGTTGGTAACATTTGGGAAGTTCTGTTCTGACAACTCCATATTCCAAGTTCTGCCGTGATGTCATGCCATCCCAGTCGCACTTGGCTCCTCATCTGACTGACAGCACATGTGGAATTCTGTTTACACATTTCAGGCACAATTCTCAGTTTTTGCTTGTCTTGTCACTCTTTGTATCCTGTATTTTTTTTAAAGATTTATTTATTTTATTCGAAAGTCAAGAATACAGAAAGAGAGAGAGAGACAGAAAAAGATCATCCATCCTCTGGTTCATTCCCCAAATGGCCACAGTGGTCAGGGTTGGGCCAGGCCAAGGCCGGGAACCAGGATCTTCTTCTAGGTCTCCTATGCAGGTGCAGGGACCCAAGGACTTGGGCCATCTTCTACTGCTTTCCCAGATGCATTAGCAGGGAGCTGGATTGGAAGTGGAGCATCTGGGACTCAAAGCAGTGCCTAATACGAGCTGCCAGAGGCTTAAGCTGCTGTACCACAGCACCGTCGCATTCTGCAAATTATTTTAAAATTGTATTTATTGATTTTTAAAAATAACTAAGGCATCTACATGCTTGAATTCAAAAAGTCCAAAAGATATATAACGAATATTTTACTTCCCATCACTATCACAGAACAAGATTTTCTCCCCATCTATATATCCCTTCAAATATGTCTGGGTATTATATTTTGTTTGTTTGTTTTCTATAAATGGCAGAGTGTTCCACACACTGTTTTACAACTTGCTTTTTTCATTTAATGACACATCCAGGAGATGATTCAATTTTAGTGCATAAAGCTTCCTCCTTGTAGTTGATTGTTATTCCACTGGATACATTCAACATAACTGAAACATTCTCTGATTAATAGGCATTTAGGTTGTTTCCAATCACTTGATACAGTAAGCACCAATGCACTGAGTAATTTTGTGCATATATCATTTTTTAAGGTTTTTATTTAATGAATGCATTTTTCATAGATATAACTTTAGGAATATAGTGGTGCATATATCATTTTGAGCATCTATGTGGGGTATATTTCTAGAAGCAAAATTGGTTAATCAAACGATATAACATTTTTAATTTTCAGAGTTTCTGAGAAGCTACTTTCCATAAATTTTATATCAATTTATTTCTACTCCTGCCAGTATAGCCAAGCACCCTTGCCAATAATACAATGGAGTGTGTTTTGGTGTATTTTGACCTTGAGAAAAGAGCGGATATCATGTAGTTTTTATGTGTCTTTCTTTAATTAATAAGATGAAGCATTTTTCCATATATTTGATAATTTTTTGGAGGGAACTTCTTGTTTACTCCTTCTGACAATTTTTCTATTTGCTTTTAATCTGTAATGTAAGGTAGAAGAATAGTTTTCCCCTAATTTGCCCTTAAAAAACAACTTTGCTTAGGTGGTTCTCATTATGTGAATATTTTTTGATAATGTTGAATTTGTCAATATTTTCTTCCATGGCTTTTAGTTTTGTGTTGTAGTTGCCAAAGTCTCCCCCAACTGGGATTATAAACAAGTTCATGCAGGTTCCTATTGGTGAGTTTTTGGTTCCAAGTTTCACTTGATCATCTTTGACACATTTGGAGTTTATTTTGGTGTTAGGCACAAGTATAATTGCAACTTTATTTTTTTCCCAAATGGTTACTATATTGTCCCTAAGCTTTTGTTGTTGTTGTTGCTAAGAGACAGGCAGACGGAGAGAGAACTGCTATCCGCTGGTTCACTCTCCAAGTGTCCACAATTGCCCCAGGTGGGCTGAGGCTGAAGCTGGTAGGCAAGAACTCATTAAACGTATGGCAGAAACCCAACCACTTGAACCATCACTGCTACCACTGGCAGGAAGTCAGAGTCAGGATACAGAGGTAGCAATGGATCTCAGGTTCTCTGAAAACAAGATACTGAAGTCTTACCTGCCAGACTGAACACCTACTCCGTATCCATTACATAATCTGTGTTTCTCCACCAACTGGACAGCCCAGCCTGATTATTCACTAATTTTGCCATTTGTGCTTGTGCTTATTCTTTTTTTTTTTTTTTTTTTTTTTTACAGGCAGAGTGGACAGTGAGAGAGAAACAGAGAGAAAGGTCTTCCTTTGCCTTTGGTTCACCCTCCAATGGCCGCCGCTACCAGCACGCTGTGGCCGGCGCACCGCGCTGAGCGGAAGGCAGGAGCCAGATGCTTCTCCTGGTCTCCCAGGGGGTGCAGGGCCCAAGGACCTGGGCCATCCTCCACTGTACTCCCGGGCCATAGCAGAGACTTGGCCTGGAAGAGGGGCAACCGGGACAGAATCCGGCGCCCCGACCGGGACTAGAACCCGGTGGTGCCAGCTGCCGGGCTACTGATTTTTAGTAAGCCTCAATCTTCCCTGGTTTTATATTCCTTTCCCAACTTGTTAGAGAGAATCGACTTCTTAGTAACACTATGGCTACCGAAGAGCATGGTAAGCTTTCCATTTAGCCAAGTTTTCTATTTGGTTGTTTCAGCGTTTTAAATTTTTTTAATGTTTATCCCCAAATTTTCTTTGTTGTTACAAAAATGGTGTTTTCCTTCATTATGTCTTGTGTTTGTGGTTCATATATTTGAAAGTTACTGAATTCTGCATGTAATTGGGTTGGAGCCAGTTTGATGGGTTTCTCTATCCGGTTAACTGCATCAGTTCGCACAAGCACCTAGTTAAGTAATTGCTGACCAAGTGGCCCTTCATCTGCCAACCTGGGAACTGGGGCTTCTTCATGAGTGTTGATGCTGGCGTAGAAACAGACAGGGTTCATTCCTCTTATTTTTGCACGATGAAGAGTGGTTCATCAGTAATTTCTTGGTAAGCTATTCATTTGGGTTCTTCTTAGGGATTTCTTGAATGTTGCCTTTTAGTGTCAGGGTTAGGATTCCACAAAGACCTGCTTAGACCTGCCCCATAAGGAGGCTTAGAAAGGAGGACTTTTCTTTGGATTGAACAACCTGAAAAAATTTCCTGGTGGCAGTGACCATTCAGGGACAGTTATCCTCACTGAGCCAAGGATCCAGCCTGAATTTGACCACACAGTGGAGATCGAAGAATTGAACAGGAGATGCACCACCGTGCAACATTATGGACACTCCATGGGAGTGTCACAACAGGGCCCTTCCATGGGGCACAGAGAGTAACGCAGGATGTATGTGATCAGGTGAAAAACTAATTGTATGGGGTCGGCACTTTGGCGTAGTAGGCCAAACCTCTGCCTGCTGTGCCGGCATCCCAGGTGAGCTCCAGTTCATGTCCCAGCTGCTCCTTTTCCGATCCAGCTCTCTGCTATGGCCTGGGAAAGCAGTAGAAGACGGCCCAAGTGCTTGGGCCCCTGCATCTGCATGGGAGACTGGGAAGAAGTTCCTGACTCCTGGCTTTGGATTGGCTCAGCTCCAACCACTGCAATCATTTGGGGAGTGAACCAGTGGATGGAAGACCTCTCTCTCTCTCTCTCTCTCTCTCTCTTTCTCCCCCTCCCCCGCCTCTCTGTAACTCTGATCTTCAAGTAAATAAATAGAATCTTAAAAAAAATAACAAAAAAGAAAGAAATCCTAGCATTTGACCTAAATACCTACAGAATGCCTTTTCTCTGGCAATATTTAACACCTCAGAATGAAAACACAGGAGCTCATCTCATCGGGATTGCTGCAAAAGGGCCCAGCAGTGAATGTTTCACGCTTCTTTTGCCAACAAGATAACACTTTAATTTGAGCCTCTGACTTTTCTCACCCTGGAGAGGAGGGAGGCTCTGGGGCCTCCATTCTACCTGCTTCTTTTTGCTGGGTAGGAACGTGAAGAAGCCCAAGAGCAGTCTGACTTCCTTTCTTTTCTCAGTGGTGCTTGAGAATTTGGGCCTTCGAGTGCAGCACTGGGGAGTAAGTATTGATTCCGGGGTCTCCAGGCCTTCCTCTAGCACAGTCATTCACCCCTGATCTTTATAGAAAAAAAAATGAGGCCATCTAAGTTCAAAAGTTTGGGTAAAATTCCTTTAAATCTCTGACCTGATTTTCTTCAGCTTGGATCTTGTTAGCTCCTGGATGTGGAATTTTTAGTTCTCCCGTCTGGCTTCTGGAGTCACGGTGCTGTGTCAGACAAGAGCACACCAAGGTGAGTACCTGTTTTCATCAGTGGACTGCTGCAAAGAAACACCTACCAAGCAGCCCAGCCTGGGTCACTGCCACCTCTAGGAGCAGCATAATCACAAACCAGCCATCTAGTCAAAGATTTCTGCTCCACTATTTCTTTTAATGTCTGGGTTTCTTTGCCTCAGTGCTCTGAGAGATTCAAGTCATGCCTTTCCGTTTACATCCTTCCAGACCCACATCTTTTTTTTTTTTTAAGATGTATTTATTTATTTGAAAGTCAGAGTTACTCAGAGAGAGGAGGAAAGGCAGAGAGAGAGAGAGAGAGAAAGAGAGAGAGGTCTTCCATCCACTGGTTCACTCCCCAGTTGGCCGCAACAGCCAGAGCTGATCTGATCTGAAGCCAGGAGCCAGGAGCTTCTTCTGGGTCTCCCACAAAGGTGCAGGGGCTTAAGGACTTGGGCCGTCTTCTACTGCTTTCCCAGGCCATAGCAGAGAGCTGGATCGGAAGTGGAGTAGCTGGGACTCGAACCAATGCCCATTTAGGTTTACCTGCTATGTCACAGCGTCCCCTGCCCCCACATCTTAGAATATGAAGGAAGAAGACAGCAAGCCGTTGGAGCATTTGTCCATGCAGCCTAGGGCGGCTGGGCTGGAGCGTTTGCACCTGCTCTCACTGCTTTGCAGGTTCCTTGTCTTTCCTGGCTGCTCCCCTATCAGGGCTGATCTGACCCCTTACCTTCCTGCCTGCCTGCTGCTCCAGGCTCCATCCTCGCTGCCCAGTTCAGTCCTCGAGCCAGCCCCTCAACAGGTGACTCAGCAGGTGGACCTCGCCCCTTACAACCTGACTCACAACAGCTCTTCAGGGTGCCTTGAGGATGTTTCATGGGTGCCCACGAGGTGCTGGATGCTGGGGAGACACAAATTAAAAAGACATGCACGTGGGCCTTGGGCACCTCTGAGTGTCACCCTCAGCAAAGAATGAATAAAATCAGGGACTGCTATCTTTAAAGGAAACTTGCCAAGGATGTAAAGAAAATCCACACGAGAAGAGAGGAATCTGACAGCTTAGGAGGCAGCCTCTGTGGAGAGGATGTGGAAGACCTAGACAGTCAAAAAGTAGCCCCCTCACCCCCGAAGGAGGGCTGGCTCCTTCCTTCCTCCACCTTCTCCGGCAGTGGAATCCTTTCAGTTAATTTCCTGATTCTCGTGTATAATTCTAGGCAAGTGGTCTTGGAGAGCACCTGGGTGTCCTGTTGCTGGAGGGAGCCTGAGACTACGAGAAGGGAGCCTTGGGTAGTAATCCAGGCCATCAGTTTATTGTGTGACCTTGGACAAATGCCCCCACTGTCTTCTGGAATTAGTTTCTATGGGAAATTGCCCTCTACCTTACTAGGATATTATGAAAAATGACTATGTGTTATATGTATGTGTGTAGATTACATATATGTAAATACATACATAAAATACAATATACACATACATAGTTAGATTTAAAACTTGGACTTTCTGGCTTCTGGCTTCAGCCTGACCCAGACCTGGCTGTTGTGACCACTTGGGCAATAAATCAGAAGATGGAAGATTCTCTCCTCCTTCTCTCTCTCCTTCTTTCTCTCTCTTTCTGACTTCTAAATAAATCTCAAAAAATTCACAACAGTTACCATTTGTTGAGCTCTCCTTACATGTGTGCTGTGTGTGTTACATGTATTATATTGCAGATTCTTACAATGCTTTTGGAAGGCAAATAGCAGCAAGCTCTCCTCCACCCACATTCCACCCTTCTGCCCCTCCCACCATGTTACGGATGAGGACACTGAGGCTTGGAGAGTGAGGAGACTGCTCACAGAGCATGTTTCTTTTGTGTAGTAGGCAGCTCTGTGCCATGTGCAGAATAATGATGATTTCAATGGCCCTAATGATGCATGCCCATATGGATACTTCTTTTCTCTTCCCATATCTGGAATATTGTCCCTAGTCATGACAGAGGAGGTCAAGTTCCTAGATACCTTGAATGTTGTATGCTGCTCTAACTGCCTGGGCTTCACTCCTGTCTGTAATGGCATTGAGTGACAGGGAGGGACTTGGGGGTGGGAGAGAGAACCATTTCTATGGTAACTTTTCATAGTGCATTAGTTCATGTAATTTTGGCTTGCCCCAGACTACACAAGTGCAGAAGGCTTTGATAAACATGATTAGGTTGTAGGTGACATTTCCAGAAGTGAAAATCTGCTGGAAGGAAAAAATGTCTGCTAGGAGATGACCAGGGTTAGAAAGGGCACAGCAGGCAATGTCATGGGGCCAAAGGACAGGAAGACCTTCGCTGGTTAATAGACATGCCACCCTTAAGCCTGCACACTCTGGGAATTCTTCCAGCGGCTTCATATCCCCAGTCCAGCCTCTTTTGGATTGCTTCATCACCCAGCAGTCACAGGCATTTCTTTCTCACTCTTCACCTTCCTCTTCTACCACTCCATGCCCTAGAAAATTGAACTTTGCTCTGTTCCAAATACATGCCCCAGGCTTTTCCACTTTTCTACTTTAGCTCACATTCTTTGCTCCATCTGGAAAGCCCTTCTGTCTCTTTCCTTGCCAACTTTCTAAGTATTACTGATCCTTACAGCCTTGTGCAAAGTCCTTTTTCTCTGTGAAGTCTCCCCCAATCTGTTCAGCTAGAAATGGTTGTAGGACATTCTTTATTTTGCTTTAGTGGAACATTCCACATTTATTATTGTAGACATAGTTTTCTGAAGGCTAGATTTTTATATCTGCTTCATCTTTGTATTCCTGATCTATAGTGTAACTTTGTAATGGTTTTTTATTCATTTATTCAGTGCATGAGTGAATGCACACATGAGAACGCATGAATGAACATACAAAATTGAGTACTAAATTTTGTATGATGCCAGGAGAATTATACTTGTTAATTTATTAAGCACATAGAGTCAACCGTCCATATTTGCAGGTTCTGCAACTGCAGATTCAACCAACGTCAGATGCAAAATATTTTTTAAAAAATTGTGTCTGCATTGAATAGGTTCAGACTCTTTTTTTGGTCATTATTCCCTAGACAATATAGCAGAACTATTTACATAACATTTATATTGCATTAGATAATATAAGTAACCTAGAGATGATTTAAAATGTATAGAAGAATGTGTGTAGATTATTTGCAAATACGACACCATTTTATACAAGGGACTTGAGCATCCACAGATTTTGGTACCTGCAGGGATCCTAGAATGAATCCCCCACAGATACCAAATTCCCCAAAGATACTAAGAGAGATGACTGTAGTAGGCGCAATGTCCTTTGCCAAGATTTATTTCATAATTCTTTCTGTCTTAGATTTTATAGTTGCCAACAAATAAATATGAATAACAAATAAAAGAGCACAGAGTCTCCAAGAGAAACACACTAGAGTTTTAAAAAAGTGTTTTATGTGATGGATAAAGGAAGGGTCATGTGGCAGAGATGCAATTTTGAAAAAGAGTTCCAAGGTCTGACAAAGAGGAGTGCAATGGACTGACTGTTTTTCTTGCTAAATTCCTGTGTTGAAATCTTGACACTCCCCCCACCCCCCATACACAAGGTGATGGTGTTAGGAGGCGGGGCCTTGGGGAAGTGGTTAGCTCTTGGGGGTGGAGCCTTCACAAATGGTATTGGTGCCCTTGCAAAATGCCCCCGAGAGCTCTTTAGCCCCCTTTCCACCAGTTGAGGGCTAATGAGAGAAGACAACATTCTATGACTCACAGATAGGCCTCACCAGACCCCACAATGCTGGGACCCTGATCTTGAACTTGCACTCTTAATAACTGTGAGAAATAATATTTTGTGGTATATAAGCCATTCAGTCTATGATACTTTGTTATAGTAGCCTTAACTGACTGAGAAAAGAAGGATGATGGAATAACTAAAAGAAAGATGATATTTGAGTATTGAGGAGAACCTACAGGCTGGTGCTGTATAGGACATGCATTGCTCTCTACGACCCTTCATGTAACAGTGTGTTTCCTAGAACACTGCAAATATCTATTGGGAACGTGCCTTGAGCTGCGGGGTGGAGTTATTGTTAAAGTGACAGATATCCAGTCCTTGAGGAGTTCACAGTCCGGGGGAAAGTATATAGTGAACTTTCTACAGAAGGTTGCTTGGATGTTCTGGGAAAATGAAGACCTTACGATGCCTCTCAGTGGGCAGGACCACACAGCATTCGGCTGAGGTCTAGGAAGCAGCGTAATGTGAAGTTTCAGAGTACACACTGGTCCGATGGGAGGCAGACTCCACCACTAACTACTTGTATAATTTTGAGATGTGACAAAGTCTCAGTCAACCCCTCTATAAAATGGGACAAGCATATTACCTGCACACAGGGGTTATTGCGGAGATCAAACAAGAAAAGCCCCAGCCTCTATTTTTTGATAGGCAGAGTGGACAGTGAGAGAGAGACAGAGAGAAAGGTCTTTCTTTGCCGTTGGTTCACCCTCCAATGGCCGCCGCGGCCGGCGCACCACGCTGATCCGATGGCAGGAGCCAGGTACTTCTCCTGGTCTCCCATGGGGTGCAGGGCCCAAGCACTTGGGCCATCCTCCACTGCAGTCCCTGGCCACAGCAGAGAGCTGGCCTGGAAGAGGGGCAACTGGGACAGAATCCGGCGCCCTGACTGGGACTAGAACCCGGTGTGCCGGCACCGCAAGGCGGAGGATTAGCCTAGTGAGCCGCGGCGCCGGCAGCCCCAGCCTCTAGGAAGGACCTGCACTACCTCACCCTGGACTGCCTCTGCATTCAAGATTCAAGAGGCAGTGCCTCCTGGTTGACTTGGGGTGTGATTTTCTTGGTTTGTTGTTGAAGTTGGCATCCAATGGAAGGGTTGGCTGTTGGGCAGATAGGGTCCTCTAGAGAGAAAGCTGAGCTTAGTGACTTTGCCAGCTGCAGACTGTAGATCCCCGAAGCGGCTGTTATGGAAAACAATACTTTATCAATGCACAAAGCAGACCACGCCTGAGATGAAAAGGTCTATTTCCTACCTTGTTATTGGATGAAGGGGTAGAGAATGAGGTCTAAATCCAGCTGTGGGGACTCTGAACAAGGCAGATTGGTTCCGTGTAAAGAGGATAAGGGGCTCCTAGGAGTGCTCTGAGGCACTGGTTACCAGAACAAGGATGGTGTTGTTGGCCTGCACGTCTCCCTTTATGGAGCTCACTGGTATTCTGTTGCAATGCAAGGATCTGACTGTTTATTACATCACCAACTCTTGGTTAAGTGAGCAGTGGACCATTAAAAGCAGGGAGAATGCATGTAAGTCCCTAATGTCTGCCTTTAGCAAAAATTGCTTTGATACAGACTTTATGATAGCAACTGTAGTGCATTATGCCTCCATAAATAGTAGGACTGAAAGCACTTAGAGATTTAGAGGTTATTAAAGTTGTTTCTTGAGGGGCTGGGGTTGTCTTTTCATGGACTAGTGCTCTCCTGTGGTACGCGACAGATTCTTATTTCACTGCCATGAGGACGGAGTGAAAACAAAATGGGAAGGTCAGAGAAGGAGAGGGAGTGGACAGAGAACGACCGAGAAAGACAGGTGAAGTAGGAAACGGAGAAAGTCTGGAAGCGAGAGTGGCTAGAGAGAGGAAGTGAAGGAAGACGAAGAGAAACACTGTTTGGAAAGTGGAGTTGAGCCTCAGGGTGAGTGTGAGGTCTGAACAAGGTTAAGCAGGGTCAAAAATAAAGTCTTCATTCAGTTTTTCCTCATTCATCAGAAAACCATTCTGGTGAGAGTATTTGGAGAGCTTTATTTAATTCAAGCATTCCTTGGAAGTAACCTGATAAAGCCCATTGGGTGGACAGTCTGGACCAAACAATGTTTTCTCTCATTTTTTTTTGTGTAATTTATCAGTCCTGTCTCCCCAGGTGGACCAGGGTGTCCTGCACCTGCTGGCCAGATGCAAGGCCCCACATTTCACTTGTGGTGGCTCTGAAGTCTTTGAAACTCTTCCTACCACTCCATCTGCACCAGGAAGAGGGGGTAAACCAAGGTTCAGCTTCAGCTGAAGGCACCTATGTGGATGACAGTGGCCAGAGAGGAGGGGCCATCAGGAGCCCCTGTGACCCACCTGTCCCTCCCTGCAGCTCGACTTCATGGCCCCAGCGTCCCTAGCACGGAGGGGCCTTTTGTGGATAGTTTTGTCCTGGCTTGACTTTCCCACTTGTTGCCAACCTAGGGCCCTGTCTTCTGCAAAGATGGCCAGTACTTTCTCTTGGGAGGCTCCCGGATGGCGATATACATTCTCAAAAGCCTATACGCAGTAGTAGCTTACCTTCAATCATACCTGGGCGTTCCTGTTGCATGCTCAGCTGGCACTCTCTCCTCAGGCTGCCGCCCCTGGAAGAGCGTCAGCACTGCACCTTCTGTGCCTCTCAGGATCCCAGCTCCTGGCCCAGGCGTCCTTACAAAGACACCTGGTTAGAACTCTCTCCACTTCCCCCTCCACCCCTGAACTTCCCAGCTGCACTCAGTCACCACCAGAGGAAACACTGCCTCCCCTCTACTCCAGGGCTGGCTCCTTCTGCCTCCTCCGACCTCATTTCACCCCTGTCTCTACCTCTCCTCTGCCCCAGCTTCTCCCCTGCATCCTTCCCTGGAATACACATATGTTTCGGATTCTCGTATTCAAAAGAATTCTACCCTCCCTCAACCCAGCCCCCATCATTTCCTCCTTTTCCTTTCATATTCATGCTTTTAGGAAAAGGAAGCCACATTTGAAATTTGCCTGACCTTCTTTGTTTCTGTAACCAGGTATCTCATTCCTCCACTTTCTCAATTATTTCAAAGTAAAAATTATCTTACTGATTTTTTTTCTGCTCATAAAAATAGTATGAAGTTCTAGCTCTGGCTCTCTATTTCCGTTTCCTGCTAATGCACAGGCTGGGAGGCAGCAGACAATGGCTCAAGTATTTGGGACGCGGCCATCCACGTGGGGGACCAAGATTGAGTTCCAGGGTCCTGACTTCAGCCTGGCCCGGCTCTGTCTGGATTGCGCATTTGGAGAAAGAACCAGCGACTGAGAGCTCTGTCTGTCTCTGTTTCTGTCTCTGTCTCTCAGCCTCTCAAAAAAAAAAGAAAAAGAAAAGAAAAGAAAAAAGTTCAGACAAGGCATAAAGGAAAAAAATAGCACTAACCAGTAACCTCAGAACAACTGCTCTAGGTGTGGTTGGGTGCTTAACCAACAGCCATTCTCCTGGATCTTCTTTTATGGCAAAACTGAAGTGTCTGTGTCCTCTCTCAGGGACTCCTAGGCACACCTGGACTCGTTTAAAGATGCATTCTTATACTCTTTGGTATCAGAACTTTTATCCGGGTCTCCCATGTGTGTGGCAGGGGCCCAAACACTTGAACCATCTTCTGCTGCTTTTCCCAGGCCAATAGCAGGAAGCTGGATTGGAAGTGGAGCAGCTGAGACACAAACCAGTTGCCCATATAGGATGTCGGTGTTACAGGAAGCAGCTTTACCTGAATTCCTTAATACTCTTAAAATGACTGAAGACTCCAAGGAGCTTTAGTTTGTGTGGGTTATATCTATTGGTATATGCCATTTTTGATGTTAAAACAAAATTTTAAAAAATGTATTAATTCTTTAAAAATATCAACAATACACCTGTTACAGGTTAACATAATACTTTATATTAAAAATGTGTTTTTCCAAAACAGAGAGTATTTGATGAGAAGAGTGGGGTGTTTATTTTTGTTGTTCTTGTCTTTACATTTTTGCAAATCTTTTTAATGTCTGCCTTTAGAGGCAGCTGGACCTTAATATCTGCTTCAACATTCAATCTCTTTCAATACATTGTTAAATGTATGAAGAAATCTGCTTTTACAGATAGGTTGTTATGAAATGGAGTATTTTAATAAGGCTTTTAAGATAATTGATATTCCAATTTGGTACCATAAAACTCAAGAAATTGCTTTTTATGGTTTCTGTATACTTGCAAAAGAATGATAATGAAAAAAGCAAAAAAAAAAAAAAATCCAGGTTTATTATGAAAATACTCTGACCTCATAGACATCCAGATAGAGTCTTGGTTCCTCCCAGCAAGTTTGAGAACCACTGGTCTAAGCCAGTGATTTAGGATGGACATGTGACCCAATTCAGACAGAGGAGACATGCGGGGAATTCTTCCAGCCACTTGGAAAAGTGTCTTCAGAGTTAAAAAGGGTCCCACGGGGCACAGCGGTGCTGCTTCTGCAGGTCAGCTCATGTTTCTGTGTGCATCTTGGCTTTGCCGATGCACGAGGAGCTGCCCCAGAACCGACCACTGCAGCTACCGCGGCCCAGGAGCTACAGCAGGAAGGAAGGAAGTGAGGCGGGGAGGCAGGCGGGCAGGCAGGAAACAGAGGTGTTTCAGTGGATATCATCCCAGACTTTTTTCTTAATGTTTATACACACAGGTTGATATGAATCTCTGTGTCCCTTGCTCTTAGCTCAGTGTTAAGCTTGGTGCACCTCTATGATTAATAGATGTTTTCTGACAGAATGAATAAGTGACCAGGTGGGGTTCACGGACCAACAACTTCCTCTCCTCTGGTCTTTGTGAGATTGAGAAAAAGCAGACCACTCTCAGAATGACAGGCTTCCTGGGTGCTATGAGCTGTGTTAAACAGTCACCTGCAGAGAAAGACGCTTTCTCTGTTCCCAGATGTTGAAACCTGCTCCCAATCCCTACTCCTATCCTCTGGCACTTTGTATCCCAAAAGAAATCAGGCATTTGCTCAGGGCTATCGGAAAATATGGCACTTTATGCTTATACAGTGATTCACTGTTTATATGGTTTACAAAGTACACGATCTCATGGAGTCCTCAAAACTCAAGCCGAGGTGGAATGCTGCTGTTCCCCTTCTACAGAGGAGGAAATGGGGCTCAGGTGAGCTTCAGGAAGTGGTTCAAGACATGGAAGCAGTCGGCAGTAGAACCAGAACCAGACTTGCAAGCTCAGCGTTCTTGGGGTTTGAGCCCCAGGAAGTTCTCTCAAAGGTTTTGCCGTCACAGGGATTATCCTGAGCACCCTGGGGTGGGGAAGAGAAGGGGACGCAGGGACAAGTAGCTTTGTCCTTTGTCCCAAGCCCCATACCCACCTCGTTTGAATGACACAAAAATGACAAAGCCTTTGTTCTGAATAACTTTACCTGGAGGTGATCTCTTCTGCTAGACTGATTGTGACATTAAAAATGCACGAGAGGCCGGAGCCGTTTGCCACCCACAGCTCAATGGGAACTGGCAAATGTCAGATGTGAACTTTCTCACCGCAGTTACAGGCTCTGCTGACCTGGGGCTTGAAGGCCCCCAGCCTGGAACCCAGCCAGAGTGCGATGCCGACGACTAACTCGGGGTGGGGGGGACAGTGCGTAAGGGGCCTGAGCATGGCGGCATGCAGGCATCCACGCCAAGTGGAAAAGGACCTGGCATCTGCCCGCTTTCCCTGGCCCTGTGCTCTGGCCTGAAGGTGTCGCCGCAGGATTCAGGTGTTGCCAGTGTGATCCTATAGGCTGGTGATCAGATCGCGGGGTCCTTCCTCATGAATTGGGTTAAGGCCCCTACAGAAGAGGCTTCCCACAGCATTTGGCTGGCTGGCTTGCTATAGTTTGAATATGGTTTGTGTCCCCCCCGGAGGGCTTATTGCAATTGGAGCCTTGATCTTATTGGGAGGTGGTGGAATCCTTTGAGAGGCGGGGCCTAACGGAAGACCTGTCAATCACTGGCAGCATGACCTCATAAGGCAGTTCTTGGGCAGCTCTGTTAGTAGTTCTCACAAGAGGGTTGTTACGAAAGCTTGAGCTGGGCTCACCTCCCACTGCCTGCTCCCGGTTCGAGACGTCATCACTTGCTTGTTCCCATACATGTACCTACCATTGCTTTCCACCGTGATCTGTTGCAGCCACGAACTGAGCTGATGCCTGTAGCATGCCCTTGGACTGCCAAAACTATGAGTTCAATGGAACTTTTCTCTCTAGAAAGCTAGCTGGCCCCGGTATTTCACTGTGGTGATGAAACGTCACTGCCTTCTGCTGTGTGAGGATGGGATGTACCAGGAAGGCCCTCACTGGGTCAGACACTAGCGTCTTGATCTTAGACTTGCAGCCTCTGGACTGGGAGAAATGCATTTCTGTTCATTATAAATTACACTCTCAGGTATATTTTTTGTGGCAACACAGAGACCCTTTGTTGCCATTCTGCTGTGTAATGGAGCAACGGCTTACCCTCTCCAGAACCGGGACTGGAGATGTGGTGTAGTAGGCACAGGCACAGGCATCCCAT